TCAATATACATACGCACGCACGCACACACACACATACACGTATATATTGCTCCTGATGGCCCAGACGATTTCAATCGCTGTTGTCATTCCTACCATGCGAACAGTTGCCGTAGCTTCTTAGACGGCGACGCAGCACTAGTGAAGTACGGTGGGATGAACTAGCTAGAGCCTGATTTGGGTCCGTAGACCAGTAGAAACAACTCAATAAAAACCATTTCGTGACGCCCCCACAAATGAGGCGCGGGCCAGTCCCGCTGCACTCGTACTGTTGTTTCTGCGTTCGGGACAAACGGAAGGTGCAAGACTACCGTCTGTATCTAGGATGGTAGTCGATAGCGCACCATGTAGAAATCGCACTATAACGTAAACGATCATTCATACCCTACTTTTTAGCTCGTACTCGTTACGCTTCATTTATCTTTGTGGGGTATACGATCAACTAGGAGAGCGGTCTAAGGGGAATACGAGTGTGCGCCTAGGTATGGGGCCGATAAGCCGCATGTAGTACCGGCTAGATGATTCGATGAAAAACTACAAAATTGTACGCATTTATTATTTTATCAATCCGTCGAAATCAGCTTTTTGAGCATTGAATGATCGCAACTGGCATAGACGAGTTGTGCACCAGCGGATTAACCGACCGACATCGGGAGTATCACCGCTCTGAAGCCAGTTTTCAACACGACAGTACATGGGTGCATCCTGTTGATACCTAGTAGGCCCATGTGATGATAGGATAAGGAGGTGGTGCAAAGGATAGTCATAAAGCGGGGCTAAATCGATCGTGTAGGAAGGAGCCATCAAGTATATTTTATGGATGGAAAACAGCGACGGGTCTACCAGCGTTAGCTCGACTGTAGTGTCAGTGAATCGTGGCCACTTCTAAGATTTTCCCCTCTGTCAGAAGCTTCTTTAAGCAGAAGGCTTGCTCCGCTTGTCAGAGCAGATTTTTTGCCTTTGATAGATTAAGTTGAAACCGGCAAGGGAGTTAGCAAGAACGAAATTAAGCGAGCGCATCATGATGATCACGTATTCGGGAATACTCATACTAGCATGCTTCAAGTCCACGTGCATAAATTACCTAGAGCTGGATATTACAAGTGTTTGAAAGGACTAGAAGGCTGCCTATTAGACGATTTATAGAACACTATATATTTAGAGTTGGGCTAGCTTGTCGAAAAGAGGTGTCAACTATAATTAGAATATCCATGCCTCAACAATAGGGCTAGTAAGAACTATACAAGCAAACAAATCCTGTCAACAACAGGAACTGCCTAGCAACCGCGAAGAAGCGCGAGTTTCCCAGGAACCTTCCCCTTGCTATTCATTCGGTTTTGTACAGCTCCTCAATAATATATACTTCCTCAACGCCTCCCATATACATGCTATGAGCATGTGCACAGCGACTCATTTAGACGAGATTCTACAAGTCAGATGGTTAACTTCAACTGGCTCAACGACAATGTTGGAAGCTAACGACGATAGCGACAACGGATAGCTCATGTATAACAATACCACACCGCGGCATGTCCGGTCCGGTCCGGTCCGTGCGACTGGGCAGAATTACCGTCACAGCCATCTCACGCTGAGTTCCACTACTACCTGCAGGCCTACCGGGTGACGTCGGACAACAGCAGCAGGACAACCGCCGATATCACTCAGTATTATTGTCGTCTCCATAGCTGTTACATCTGCGGAGACTTCTTCTGCATTTGGATTGTAGACGGCGCACTGCCAATTACAGAGGATTACGCACGGTGCAGCTACAACACAGAGGATTAAGGCAGGAGATTAGTGGCCATTTTTTTTACGTGTGCTGCTTCTGCAGCCGCCGCCACCGTCGTCGTCGTCATCATCATCATCATCATCTACAGCCAAAACCACTAGTGTTACTACAAAGAAGCATAGAAGAAGAGCTTGCGTTGCCGCCGCGCGAATGCTACCAAACGTCTGTTGTTTATATCAATGCATCTGTGTGTGTGTGTGTGTGTGTGTGTGTGTGTGTGTGTACACATTTTGTCAGTTATACATGCGTTTGTACCTGTGCATACAGACGGTGACGGAAAAAGCGCCAAAATTTGCTAATGGACTATACCATTAATTCGACAGAAATTATTACGGTATTATTCTAATACGAACCTATTCTATAAGGCAACGAATAAGGGTCGGCTAGAAATACGTTGCTGTCTAATTTCTATCCGGCAACCGGCTATTCACTGCCCTTATCGTTATAAACATATATGTGTTGTGTATTCAATGGTAATTCGTGTGTTGTTGTCGAGGTCAGTAGTAAATGTCGGGGATCTGCACGACTCTCCATAGTATTTCACTCTAGTTCTACCAGTTTACTTCTTTTCATTACGTTAGCATGTTCCGTAGATAATATGTCTGTGACATAATCTGAGACAGGATCAATTCTACGACGTGAATAGTCTTTGAGAAGGAAAACAGATTGGGAGCACACACAGATCGAGATACGATGTTGGCAGGCGATCTCTCGAGTAGTTAATAATCGGTCGACGAGCAGCGAAAATGATTCAGTCATCGTGACGGGTAACGAGTAAGTGATTGGCGGGTTAGACAAGCTAGATGGCTAAGTGACTGAAACTATCTACCCGCTTTATCGAGCATCAGCAAAATCGACAACAGTAACGGCAGTGGATCTGTGGAAGTAACGCTGGCTGTTTTTTCTCCGGCTCTAGTCAGTTATTCCCTACCCTCCATTGTCCTGCTAAGGCCCAGACGGCAGCATCTGTCTGGGTAAGCCTGCCCCGCACTGACACCAGGAGCAGGCTGCCGCTAGGTTCGTCCATCAGTCCGGCTGCTCCTTCCTTTTATCCTATTAGCAAGCTTGACGATAGCTGACTCACGCGGTGCGACTAGATGCATCTCCATGTAGGCGATATGCGCAAATGTGTATGTTGATGCATGCAGCTGCGCATGTGCGTTCCTGGTCGTCTGCTTCCGTGCCTGCGTGGTGAACTGTCTGCTAGCCTGCGTAGGTATAGGGAACGTTCTCTGTTGTTCACAGATGATACTAATGATGATAGTGATTTTGAGTGGTGCCACCGATGCTATTGCTGCTGCAGACACGCGAGATGCAGAGAATTCCCGCTGTGCACACGCTACCGGCTGCACTATTTCAGTTGCCGTTACGGATAGAATAGTCACTGTTGCTGGTACTAATGAACCGCTCACACATTAGACCATAGATTAGAGCAGTGGGACACATCGTCGTAAGGCAGCGTAAGCCAACTATTATAGTCATTTATCCGTCGTTTCTGGCCACCATGAATACGGACAGCAGCTCTGTCCTGTGAACGGCAGCAGTAAGCCCTCTTTCTCCACTACTACCCTTACTCTTTGGCTATATATCGTTCTAGTGTGTATATATATATATATATATATATATATATATATACTAGAACGATAATAAAAGGAGATGACAAAGCAACTCAGCTGGTACTATATGTAGTACGAAATTCTAACAGAAACAAGCACCACCGCGAGCAGTAGGGTGTATTGTGAAGGGTTTCCCTAATATTCATAACGATTTAGTTATTCACACACACACACACACACACCTACACGATACAGAACAAAACATTCTAAAACGAGCGTCGAAGAGCAAAACACTCGCCGAAAAGCTGTCTGCGAAAATCAAAGGGAATCTCGTTCAGCCACGTGAGCAGCTGCCGTTGCTACTAAAAAATTATAGGAAAATGCGAAACTCCAATTCATCATCAACATCGTATTTTCCATGGGCAAGAACGGATGTGCGTTACTATGTAAGGGATCCGTGTTCACGATGATGAGCTCTTCTGTAGCGAGCTTCTTCTCGTCTGCGAAGACTTCTCTTTATTTTAAAAAATGAAGAAAACAAGGTCGAAAGATGTACTTGCGATATGGTTAAAGTTTATTATGTATGAAAGCTGTGAGTGACTATGTCCCCGATCGCAAACTTTGTAACTGACAGGTATTAGTTTCATTCCAAACGTCAGTCGACTGTTGATAGCGAGCCTTACCTGGCTCGTATTATGTCGTACGCAACGAATATTAAACGATTTCCCTTTAGCAGTAGATTCGAGCATTTTCTTCCAGCCAACTCCTAGAGAAAAATCCACGCCCACCCACGCCCGTTTGAACGCATGAGCCAAGCTAATCGGCGTCGAATAGGGGTCCTAACTGAAGGAATTATCTGATCGATATCTGACGAATTATGCTCTTCAGCTCAGATGACTCACTTTCCTTTGCCACTACGTCCGCAATTGATCGGGGCTGAAAGCGAAACGTTTCAGATCGGTAGCTTAGGTCGGTCTCGAACGGTTACCGTTTGGTGGCTTATTGGCAGTCATTCGTCTTCCTATCAGTTCTGATCACCGGTCTCCGTCATATCTGGGCTTCGAGTGTCTGAGTTGTCGGCCTGATATCCCACTGAGCAATCTGTCGCCGCAATCTTTCGAAGTGTCGGCATTTCGCCTTCAGTACGGACATTTTGTCGGATCAACCTTACGAGAAGATGATCTTCGACTGAAGATCAGTCAGAAAACGTTCAGTGCTGAGTCGCCGGCGATTAATACTCTGGAGTGATCTAAGGAATGCTTTATGGAACGAATGATAAGTATGCAACGATAGGAGTCTCTCGATTATACACCCTAAATACGCTACAACCCAAACCGTTAACTATAACTAGTAGCAAAACGAATCCCCACAATGAACACATATTGCTATTGACCTGCATGCTTTTTCCAACCAATATATATATATATATATATATATATATATATATATATATATATATATATATATTAGCCTGTTTCTTAGAATATTTGTTGTTATTTGACGTTATTATACTTCATGTTAAGTTGGACAGCAGCCATCAGGTTGGCCGAAGGCTCGGCCTGACAGGCAATCATTTACTATTCAATTTACCCGGCAAAACGTCGCGTAAGTTGCATCAACGTCCCACAAAGTATTCCGCTGAACCGTTAAACACTAACCTGTTGAGAACTTCCGGCGCTTGATGGTACGGACGTATTCGAACTTCCATTCGAGTGTTGCTGTTGCTGAGTATGCTGTTGTTGCTGCTGTTGATGGTGCTGCCTTTTGAGTACGAGGGATGATGAGGGCGGAGATGGCAGCGGTACGGACGATGCAACAGACGCTGCTAACGCTAGTGGTGAGGTTAATGGCGTAGCCCCCGGTCCGGATGGACTATGGTGGGAGGCTCCACGACCGCTTGGGGGTCGATTCGCACCGTTCATTTTGGTGTAGAGCCCACACGCGTTACACAGATAGTGACCGGCCATATCGCGACGCCAGAGAGGGGTCGATACAGCCCCACAGTTGACACACTCTTTCGAGTCTTGATAATAGTCGATGTATGCAGGATCTAAAATGGTCAAATAAAGAGAATTAGTGCACGGCTGACAAAGTGACAAAGCTATACAATAAGTTGAGAGTTAGTTAGCAGGTTCGATTATCCCGATTTTAGTTATTATGCGAAACTTAAGCGGACCGATGGAAATGACAATATACCGTTTATAGATAGAAAAATGAAGATTAATCAGTGTAAAGATTCTTGAAACGCTATTATTTGAAACGCTAGAGCGGAAGCATAGAAGTAAAAAATTAAATGTGATCTTTTCATTTATAAGAGCGGCGAGGTGGGACAAATCACACTGAAATGAACGCACAGACCATATGGTTACAAATCAGCTATAGATTGAAACATGGCGAGGTCCGATTTATACATTAAGTTTTCTCTGGCCTGGATTGTTTTTCTGCCATACAATCCTCTAAATCCATTACGGCGGAAGTTGTGAGGTCGATATAGTATACACACAATACTTACGAACCCCCACGTGAAAAGTGCACTTATGCAGTATATATATATGATACGACACGATAACAAGTTCGAACGGGTACTATATCTAATTACTGGGACAAGAAAAAATCACCTGACTTTACCTTACGTTCACCCTGCTTGTCGCAATTCTCCCATAATGCTACTTTCGTTTGGGATCACTTCGTTACGGCTAGAAGGTATACTAACTACTTCTAACCGGTTCATAAGTACAGGATAATTGTTTACATCCGTACCGGCAAGCACAGCTTGTGCTACAGACAGGGCTATTACTTCGAATATTTCGCATGTGTTCAGGAAGCTTTTGCTCGACGTTCGTCACAGATATCTTCGTACCAGGACCTTGGAAAACAACTGCTTACTCAGACGCTGACTATGTCGTTGCGTTCATTCCGCTCGAATGCTGCACCGAATTGCATCCCCACAACCGTACCAAATCGTCTTCGTCGCCGTTCAACGTTGACGAGAAAGAAGCTGTCATAGCGCTTTGTTGTTTTGGGACACTGATGTCGACTATAAGGATTCGGATGGTACTTTTTCGCGTCCAGTCGTTCACAGAATGAAGCTCACTTCGGAACTTCATTTTGCACGAGGCGGGATAACCAGCATTAACCAACTTGCTTCCGATTTTCTTTTTCCAGCTGAATTGTATGTTGAGGAAATGTACTGGGGCGGGGGTAGATACAGAACAAATGAATGTGGAGAACTGATCAGCGCGCTGAGGAACTGAAAATTGTACTTGAAGGAACATTCTGAAGTGAAAGCCTTTAGCGCAAGTGCTATGGGCTGTTTCACATATTGAAAACGGTTTCCATTTTAGAAAATTTTCTAAAAGAGAAAAAGTTTTGTTCATTAATCCATCTACGTTCTTCTATGTTGCCTTCGTAAAGTCCGACACTCCGATAAAACCATTCGATGTAAAAAAAAAACAAGCGTTCTGAATAAAAAATAGCAGTTTAATGCTAGATATACATAGCAGAAATACGTCTATTAAAAATTCTTCACCACACATTAAATATGTAGCTTGCGTTGATGTAGTGCACAGCAATGTACATTACTGTACATACCACATAGGTATGAGGCCTTCGTCGAAAGGAATAATGGCCTGTTCGTTGCCTGGAAGGACAGGTGATTAAGTTTATTCGGTTCCATTATGTTTGGCCACTTTGGGTCGCCTCGTAACGCCTTGCCGATCGGCAAAGCGTTACGAGCTCGCCTAGTTAGAGGCCGATACCTTATCATGACGCCCTTCGGGTAAACCGGCGTTCGCGCCTCTTACTGAAGTTATTGATCGTGGGAAGCTCGCTCTGTTGTTTCTTAGATGAAGCTGCTACACTAAAGCAGAGAAAAACGTCCGTGAATCGGGCCTCGGCCTTCTCCTGTCTGGTGATGGCAATAATAAGCGTTTATATAGCCTGGAGATGGGGCAATGCTTTCTGCATGCGTCAATGTATCACCTAGCACTTGGTTTAGGCGGTGTCCTCGTTAGGTCATTTTGGAGTGGGTCACCTTTCTGTCGAATCTGATCCACCTAAACCAGCAGCCCTTTGAGAAGAGCAGGGGGGGGGGGGGGGTCGGATGTCTGCACGGCGTGGAGGGGACGAGATAGAGGGAATAGGCCGTCATTCTCTGTCTCTAGCTTTGCGCAACGCTACCAGGCCGATTCGTTTGAACACAGGCAGCATACGGCAGAGACTCACGTCGCCGGTACTTGGCCAAAGTAAACTGATCTAGCGATCTAAAACTGATAGACGAAAAAGCGCCATTCTGACGACGTCGCCGTCAACAAGACAGAGAGCGCTGTGTAGCCATGAAGCGTTGTGAGTTCTGTTCCTTGAAACTCACCACTGCGGCCATTTGACTATTATAAGTTGCCGACGCCTGTCTCGTAGTCTGTTTTCGGTTATTTATGTACAGCCAAATATCACCTGTACCTAGTTTTGCCACGAGACGATAAGACTCTATACTGAGCCATTTAAAAAAAGTGGTTTGTACAGTGGTAAAAAAGTTCCATTGATCTGCATTACCGTTCCGTCGTGTCGTACACGGGGGGCGGAGAAGTATTTCATATGACATCTATAACACGAATAATAGTTTAAGGCTTCAGAAACGATTATGCTTTCTTTCTAAATATAGAAGTACGGTGTATATAATGATTATGATTTAGATTTGTGCAAGCACGCTCAAGGCACCGCATTTCTCGCCGCACTTCAAATGCTCGTACCGTTTGTCCACAAAAACGCCAATTTCTCAGTTATTTACGCGATTGCTCGATCTCGCTACGTGTATTTGTCACTCGACATGAAGTAATTTCAGCGCCAGAGAACCTGTAGGAGGCAATAAAATAGTAGTCAACCGCTAAATTTGTATCGATATCAGGGTCGTATAGGCAATACGATTATACGACTGCGTGTTACTCCGACGATCACGCTTATGGCTACGCAGTGAAGGCCATCTATGGAAAATTGAAGTCGGAGCCTTGCTTGTCTCACTGGAATGATTGATGTACGGCCAGCCCGTTTTAGCATATTCTTTTCTGATTATTTGTCACCTCCAGCGAGAATGAAAATGGGCCGTTTAGAATCATTGCTTCTGAAATTGGTTCCAACACAAGGAGCTGTTTATCAACGAGCAGCCTACGGCGAGTAGAATAAATTCGATATATATACATAGTTAGAGATTAAGCTTTATATGCTATAAAAGAAAAGAAAAAACTATATTGCACCCATTGCAGGAGATTGCCTTGTAAAAGTACGCTAACTATATAGTGCATGTCTGTAGTATTTCACATTTTTAATGCAGATGTAATTTTCATGTCGAACCTATTATCGAAAACTAAATCCTTATACCCCCCCCCCCCCCCCGTCATCATCTCTACTAGTGATTACACTCTTTAGCCTCACAGGACCCGTTGTTCAATTGTCTCATAAAACAGATTATTCTCAAACTTCTTTTTCCCATTTGACCGCTATTGCCTCTGTTATTTTTTATATTGTGACGTAGAGACGCCCCTTGTAATTGATGATTTGCTACGTCGACGTACGCCAACTCTCAACAGTATCGGCCCTGGTTGGTCACTTCCTTCACATTCCAGGCTGTCTGCCGCTCTCACCCTTTGCGCTCCTGCAACGCGCGGCTTTTTGAAAGGCGTTCGTCTGTCTGAACGAGTCTGGATTTCTGCGTGTGCCCCTCACTCCTCCCCTACTTCGTCCCTGAATTCGATCTTCAGTCTTCTCTATTCTTTTTTTAGCTTTGTTTTTAACTCGACGAGCTGATTGCGTCGTTGATGCGACACCAACGCAGACGGCAGGGGTCCTCTCGTTTGCGGTGACTGCCAGTGGTTAACTGGCTGGCGTCACCCAGACTTCAGATCTCGACAACAGACGCTTTCAGATTAAGGAGACAGAGTGGCAGCTCTTCGGCCGCCGCCGCCGCTCAGATCTAACTATTATAGATATCATAGTACTTGTACAACTAGCCAGGATGATCCTACCATCTACAATTTTAACTAAGAGAGCGATAGAGCAGTCAGTTAGTTCTGTCGCGGTCAGACAACAATTTGCAGAGGACCGGACCGATTTGCCGGTTTCGATTTAACGCGACATCAAGCTTGGTCACCAACCATAAAGTTGCGATGGGCTACACTTGGCTGGCTTTCCCATCTTTACGCTAGTCAGCCTCTGAACTAGGTCGACTGACCTTTTCAAACTCCAGCCTTCTCGCGCCGACTACTGCTCGACGACGAATGTCTACCTTGGCAGCAAACGTTGATCAGAAACCAAAACTTTCCCGCTCTCCTTTACGGGTACGTCGTAGGCGGCCTCCATAGGTAAACGGCCACCCCTCATTTTCGACGCCTTATTTCAGTGCTCTGAAATTCCCGACTTGAAGTCTAACCCCCTCCACTGTCGCCCTCCGCGTCCAGCGCTTTCAAACATTTTCTTGACTTACTCGCGAATGCTAGCGAAGACAGGCAGACTCAGACAATGACACTTGCTTGTTGAGACATCACAGAGAATAACCAAACCAGAAAAAAAGAGAGAAACAAAGGGGGTTTATAGAGTTTTCGATATAATTATCATTATTATCTAAATGATCTAAATTGGCCCAGGTTGAAATGAGCAAAAGGCGAGACAGCCACGAAGCCACCGACGACTGACAATCAAGAAACAACAGAAGTTAAGCCAAAAGATTTGGGACGAGGGGGCAATGGAGCGAAAATTGAATGATTGTAACTGATTTTCTTCATCCACCGTAATTGGTCCACAAGGGATTTGTTTTATCTTTTTTTTTTATTGAGGGGACGGTAACCCCCTAGCAATTAGTGAAAACGAGTTTGCACAGCTACAAAGGCTGGGGTAAAAACGCAGGGGCAAAAAAGGTGAAGCGGACTGTGGCTAAAGAAGTTGATATCAGAAAAGTATGGAAAATTTTCCAAACACTACAGAGAACGCAATCTGGTTGTAGTGTTCCTATAAACAGATCAAATTTATCCTAATTGCATCATTTTAGATCAGCCGCTTTTTGCAGCCGCCCCATTTGCAAAGGAACATCTTCCTCGATCATGAATAAATAACTGAAATTTAAAAATAACCTATACGTTATAATGGTTTGTTTAACGGTAACGATCTTTGCAGACGCCTACTAACAGTTCGTTGTGTCTTTTTCGAAATAGAGCTACGAGTGTCTGCTGTGCTCAATCTCAACATTGTATTTTTTATAAAGACACGCAAAAGTGGAACAAAGTCAATAGAATCCCCTCCATGACTGAGTTATGATTCATCATTTCTTATCGTGAAGATGTGTTTTATGCATATATTTGCCTGCTTTACTATTTTACTTACAAGAATATTGTACACAAATGTTAACGAGGGGGAGTTGTTTTTATTACCTACTATAGACAGGGAACGTTAGCGAATAAACTGCATCAACATATATATCCATCAGAGTAGCGAATATTGCTAGTGTTTTGTATGAATTTTCAACTAAAAATTCTCTATATGTCCTAGTAATAGGAACATACGCTTCCGCAGTGAAACACCATTAAGCGATACATAGAGCTTAATACGACATGTAAAAGTGTCGTTTCATTTAGTAATTCGCGATAGCTCAAGCTATTTCCATGTTTTCGAATAAGAAATACGTTCTTCTAGCCTTAGGTGATGACCGTATATCGATAGGACAAGGAATAGCAACGAAAAAACAAATATCCATAATAAATAGAGCCTTTGTGGATTATTGATTAAAACAATCGTCGTACCCAAGCTATATGCGCTTCAACTCGCCGACGTACGTACGTACGTACACACAATATCTGTGGCCACATAAAACTTTAACACAAACTTCTTATGGGTCCCGATGTGTTTGTGTGGATAGGATAGCATAATGATGATGATGCACGTGCCACATGAGAGAAATGATTACGTAGTTTTTAGTACATAGTAAGTCTACTATGTAATCTGTTAAGCTGTCCAAGTCCCAGAACTTCTGCTGTAGAAATTTACCATAGGAGGAATACCTCTTTTGCTTAAGTGAAGCGTTATCTATATCATAATAAGATTAGTATGTATATCTTCGTGTCATATCAGCCGCACTATCTCGTACATAGGGCCCATTTTTGTGGAACCGTCCCTTTATTTTACCCGTACCGTTCCAAAGAACATTTTATCGTTCTTCGACCTATTCATTAATCCTCGGTATTCCCCTTTATTACGACGACTTCGAGATATATATATAAAAAAAAAGCAAAAAAAAAACACGTTGTAATTATTTACAAAATGTTTTACGTTTTTTAATTGTAGATTTTCCATGGCGTCGTTGTGGCACATAATGTGAAATGCTCAGGCCGCGGTCCGGCTTCTGATGCCACTTTAGCGCCCTTGTATAATCACCTCAAAGGCACAGTAGGCACTCCCCGTGGGAACAAGCAGACGTTAATCCAGCCGATAGTATTGTAGGTGTGACCCAAGATAAAAACGTTAAGCCAAGAGATGACACTGACATATAGTCTGGCGCAATTACGCTTCTGAAGGATAACACGCAAATCTCGTAAGGATCGGCTGAAGGAATCCAACAGAGCAAAGCTACTGCCTTCTCTTAAAAAAACAACGAATCAACAGACAGCTTTGTTTTGCGGTAAATAAGCTTTAAATTAAAATGGAATCAACATATTAAGCCAACGCGCGCATAGGGTCTGTATATAAGATAAGTTGAACAAACTTGGATAAAATGAATGTTTCGACCAAAAGACGAAGCAACGATATGTGCGCCCTATTCGACCAAAGTCGCTTCTTTCCGGTCAGTTAAATCACTGGCTGCAATAACTTACAACGCTGATTGTTATTCCCTCTTGTAGATACTAGTATGACGACACAACTGCGATGCCTTCATATACGTGTGCGCTTACAAAAACCCCCAAGTTTGCAAGGTAACATTCAATTAAGCGTCATAGCCGGTTAACTTTGCGTCATTGACCAGCATCACTAACAATACGTTCGAGCAGTATCAGCGTTTTCACATATAACGATAAAACTGCAACCGAAAGCTGAAGGCTTCTAACTTTTGCCCACAAGGAAATACTAATCAGGTCATTGTCATGATCATTTGAAGTTCCATTGCTTGTTGCTCAACAGATGCGATTTCATACAGAGAACTAGCGAAGATATCTCTAGAAGGAAGATAGAGTGAACAAAACAAGCTTCTCTTAGATTTTCCAATATGAAAACCTTGATATATATACATATGTATGTATTTGATACCAGACAGTTGGAAAGCAACGAAACGTGTATCAGCCGCCAAACTTGACACGAGTATCGAGGGTAAGATCGATTAGAAATCCGTCATCGTAGCTCTCAGTATTAAGGAATAATATTAGATGCTATGTAAGATAGTTTCAATTTACTATGTACGATGTGTTGCCTCGAACAACTGGTTAAATTAAGCTAGTTAACAAAAAAAAAAGTTGTTCCGTCGCATCGGTTTGTCATATGATCGAAACGAAACTTCCTAACAGATGCCGATCACGTTCCTCAAAGGATCTCGTTACACATTGGTTATAGACAATGTTTTAATAGATTTTGCTATTCAGCTGGTTCCCGTCTTAGATTTCGCTTAAATCTGTTTGATGAAAAGCTAATTATTTTACATAAATAAATCCATGATAAACTATAGAGTTCGTGGACCTCTTGAAAACTCGATCTTATTTTTACACTTCGTGCGCTTACCATCACGTGTTAGATACAAAGTGTACCAAGCAGATTGGCGTCCGTGATGGTTCGTTGACAAAACATTCAAATTCAATGTTTGTAGCGTGATGATTTATCGGATCTTTCATCTTGCATTCTTTTTTCGCTGAAGGCAGGAAACGAGTCTTTTTTTTTACACGGTTCTTCTCTACTTTTGTCAACTAGAAAAACAGGCAACGTCTCTGTGACGTGCATGACCAAAATATTATCGACCTATAACACGGCCGCCTCGAGTCTTTCAATCTCCACCTTCGATCGGAAGGTAGAGACAACGATAATTCAAAGAACGGATAGAAGTGAACCTCTTTCGAAATGAAAATGTACCCTAAATATATATACTGAAGAACTGCTAACAAGCTGTTTTTATCGTCGACGAATATCGTCATGGGTTTACTTCTGGCCCGTATTTTGCTATAGTCGCGCTCAGCTTAACCAAAAGGGGAAAATTGTCGTTGTGGAAAAGCGATTTGGAATAATAGTTGAAGGAAGACGGTCGCCGAGAAGCCAACCGAAAGATGAGCTAATTAAAAACAATAACAACTAGTAATTTCAAGACATTTATCCTTTAAGTAATACTAGCCTCTACTGTGAAAGGTGCGCTTTGAGACAAATTTCTCATCGCAGTACCAGCTGACGTATCAACAACGTCTACCCCGCCAGCCTGAAAACTACGTCTTCTAATGCGCTCTTCAAAATGCCCATACATAGAAAATGATAAATACGAACAGTCTTTGACATCGTAATACTACCAGTGAGCCTATTCGATTTAGTCATCCTTCGAGTCGCTATGACGACCCAACCTAAACAAAGTGACAATTAACCCTCTCATTTTAGGCGGTACAATGTAGCTCACTTGCACCCTACTGGCCATATAGTCACAGCAAGTATAGAATTCAAATCAGTGTAAAATTTGGAGAACGTCTTTGTTGATTATAGCAGTCGAAAAACTATAACCAGCTTGAATACGCATTCATCTGAAACTTTTCAACGTCGCCCCTTTGTTTGAGTTTGAGATGCAGCAAAAAAACTTGCAAGCCCCTAGGGCATAATTCACAACTCAGCACAGTTCGTTTACGACTACCTTTTGCCGGATGAATGAAGTATAAGACGCTTTTGACGGAAAAAAATGTTCGTTTTTTGTTGTGTTTACAATTAACCGAACGATGATAGGACGCTTGGTACTGCTGATAACTTTTGGTTAGAATAACAGAACGATTCAAGGAGCATTTTTTTGCAAGTGTTACGTACTCACCCATCGGCATTCCGAGGGGGTTGGCAGCGGGGGGATAGCTGGAAAAACCGGTGGTAGCCGGATCGGGGTAACCCTGTCCGGGCCATCCAAGCATTCCGTTAGCCTCGCTGAGTTGGCGCAGATTCGAGCTGGCTGTTGGATAAGTCTGCCCGTTGTAGGTTACATAGGAGGGGTCCATTTCACCTACTTCGGGCGTCCACTGCACACTCGACTTGAGATACTGCAGCATGCCCGCACTGGGCACCGGCCCGCCGTGATGCTGCAGATCGCCGGCGTTTAGAACGCCCTTTGACGGCTCGGAATCGGCCACCGACTGGCCGCTTGCGTAGGGTTGACTTCGAGGGTTCACTCGATGATTTCTGCTGGAAGAATCGACTGGGCCTAGACTATTAGTCCTTTGGTCAACACAAGCGGCCGATTTGCCTCCAACTATTGGCCTTCGAGCATCTAGGACATCACCATCATCATCATCACCATTACCACCATTACCACCATCATCACCATCACCATCAACACGAACACCGACACTTAGAGAATTCTCGTCCACGTTATGCTGGCCGAACACCACCTGCTTGTTCACAGTGACACCTGCCGCTCGGCACTGCACTGCACGTTCACAGTTAGCTCCAGTTATACACAATGGCGAGGACTCGTATGAAGGAGTCCGACCTACGCACCGATCTCTCGTTGTCGTTGTAGAAGAGTAAGACGACAGATTGCGCAATGGTGTTGCTACGGTGTACAGCTGTTTCTCTTGGGATCGCTGCTGCTGTTCCGCGCAGAAATACTGAGTGTAGGATGAGGACGGACAGGTAGACGGCGCGTACGGCATACAGGTCCGAGCAATGGACTGGGCTTGCCGAAGCAGTTCGGTAGCAACAGATTCAGACTCAGAGACACATTCAGCGACTGCTAACAACGGGGGCGAGCAGTCGTGACCTGAAGGCACCGGCGACAATAAAGCTTTACAAAGTCCATCTGGCTGTTGTTGATCGTCTCTCAATATTCCATTTGTGTTGACGTTTTTTACTAACACGTTTCCATTGTTACTATAGGAGACACTTTGTTGCCGTTGTTCTAGTTGTCTGAAGTGATTCTCCTTTGCACATTCAGCAACAGATTGAATATGTACACTATTCGACTTGCAATGGTCAGCGATACTTTCTGTGCCCGCTGCTGTTCCTGTTACACTTGTATTCTTATTGCAATTCACTGAATGAGGAAATTCGATTGGGGTATACGTTGTTGTCGTTGGTATCACTGAGTGTGAATGGTGGTCTGCTCGATAGCCTTGATTGTTGTGAACAGCAACAAGGAAATCGCCGTCGAGATTGAAATTCGGCAGGTTTTCCTGTTCATCAGCTTCGTCGAGTACAGCTGCACAGTTATCGGTGGACAACACACCCCGATCACATTCAGCACCGCTACAGGGGCTAGTATCGACAGCGCTGTCGCCCTTGTAGCTTGTCCCTGCTGTGTTCCTGATAAGCAACAACGATGATCTGTTATCATCTCTTGAGATAAAAGCAGCGGCCGCGATATCAGTGACCGAAGTTAACTGGCACTGGCTCTCGTCGTGGTAAAGTAAACCAGCGGTCCTGACAGCGGCAGAAGGCGAAGACCACTGGGGCAAAGCTAACAGCGGTCCAACTAACTCCTGCTGCTGTTGCTGATAACAACTGTTCTTCGGAGGCTCCTGTAGAGGGCTACTGCTGCTGCTACTGCTGCTGCTGCTGCTGCTGCTGCTGCTGCTGCTGATAGGCAGGATACTGGACTTGATGGCGTCGTTTTTCCGGCGGCTACCAGCGCCGGCGTCGCTTATCGCTACAGCACTTCCAATGCCAGTCACCGTCGTGGGCAAAACCGTACGCGAGCCCCTGGCAGAAGCAGCCACTCTCGCAGCGCTTGTATCAATAGCGGTGCTGCTGCTATTAATACTACTCGTTGTACTGTTACAAGCAGCAACACTGTTGTCGCTGGCGACGATCGCCGTTGGCGACGTTGGCGTCTTATCGCCGACGTCCGCAGAGCTGATATGAAACGCGGCACTGGCTAGTAGCTTGCTCGCATTAGCTCGTCCGCTTGTGTCGCTAGTGTCGCTAGTGGTAGCCGCCGCCACCGTCGCCGCCGCCGCCGCCGCCGCTGACGCAGCTGTAACCTCCGCCGCTGACGCAGCTGTAACCGCCGCCGCTAAGGCTTCTACGCCTGAGGCTGTTGCTGCCGTTGCCGCTACGAACGGCGACAACGAAAAGAAAGGCGCTAGCGACGACGTCTGCTCAGATCTGCTTTTGCTAGCTGCAATTGTAATGGTAGAGGCTGTGGTTTCAGTGACTACGATGGCAAGCTGTTGTCGCTGCTCCCGTAGCTGAAATCTGGTGGAACTGCTGTTGCTGTGATCGCCAATGCAGCCGCGGCCGCCGACAGCGGTGTCCCTGTGGAGGGTCCCCTTGGTTTTTTCGTCGGCGATATTGATGTGGTCGCCAGCGAGGCTTGCGTCAGCGGCAATGTGATGATCGACCTCGTCGCGGCGGCGCTCAGTAGCGAAACTGTTTTCGGAGTGGCCGATCCTATTGCTGCCGCTACCACTACTGTTGATCGTGGCGCTGTGTGTCGCAGCGCTGACGCTACAGGACGCAGGATCCTTCGCCACGAACGCTGGTTGCTGTTGACTGTCGCTGCAGTGGCGCCACCGCAATGCGGGCACCGAGCACTCGCTAACAAACGTTGCCGTTGCTGGCGTCGGCAACAGCGACGGCTGCTGCTGCTGGAACAGGCGGCACCGAGAAGGCCATGCCTCTTCCCTCTCGCCGCCGGCAACGTTGCCCGACGAAGCAACGCGTGACGTCGTCGTGGAGACACTGACGAAGCCGGCGCAGCCAACAAAGCCGACAGAAGGCGGGGCTTGTGAGGAAGGCGGAGCTAACGGAAAAGGGCGGACTCTGTAATGGGAAAGGGACAATTTAAGTGACATATGCGCGCATATCAGGGATGAGAACAACGTTCATACAGACGGAAGCCAACGAAATATATATGGAGAGTGAGTGATGCAGAAAGAAAGAGCGGAACAATGTAGTGAGAGAAGGATTAAGGACAATATTGTATGTATGATACAACACGAGCCGAGTCTAGGCGTCCACGATAGATGCATACCGCAGTGGACTACAGACAAGCAGACGACGTCATGGGGTCTAAAAGAAGGGAGGATGAAAAGGGAGTACGCTCGGAGAAAAGCTCGCATAACTTTACGTAAAAGAGATGAACGGACGTAATGTAACCAACCGAAACGTGCTATGTCGTCGCCCTATTGGATGATACCTTGACCTCTCTGAGCACAGGTCGTTTATGTACAAGCGCATTTTTCCAACGTGGTCTCATATCCTTTAAGCTAGACTGCATGCAGAAGAAAAAAGTGGCGTTGCGTTAGAGATAAGTAAGCATTTTGGCGTGTTAAATACGGGACAATTTTTTAGTGATGTCTGGTCCGTAAGTGCTCTGCACCAAGTTAAGGCCTGGAGGGCACGCTTTCATTGAACTGATCCGATTCGCGTCTGGCATTGGACGATAGGCAACAGACAGGGCCTTTTCAGAAGTAGACGAAGAGAAAGAACAAGAGAGCGCCGACATCTATCGTATAAGCATATGCACGCAGATGGGTAACCATTACTGTGTGTGAACTGTACGTTGTGCACGTACATAGTGCACAGTAAAGGGCCGCCCTTTTACGTGGTACGGTCGTCAATAACCCTGAGTTGAGTGATTGTGCGAGAAGCGCGCTATTGTTTAGGTAGTGATCGCGGTAATAGTGGCGACTGCTCACAGCAGCTGCATTTGGTGACCAGCATGCAGCTATAAGCCTGGCTTAAAGCCCTGCAAAAATCAACAGGCTAAATAAAGGTAAGGAACCTATTCCACAATAAACAAAAGAAAGGGATTAGACAAACACAGTATCACAGCGTGACTTGAATGGCTGAGCGGAACTGTTCGTTTCAGATTCATTCAAGTGTAGTCCATAGAAATTCGCATATAGTGAACCAGTAATTTAAATGAATCCGCAGTTGAAAAATTACATCTGTCCCAAAACGTTTATTTTAATCATTTACTATGAAAATGAAAGTCACCGGGCTACTATAGTCTTTTAATTTGTTGACAGAAGCGTACCATAAAGGCCATTTTTGGATAGATACGCGTCGGTAAGTCACAAAAGATAAATACATTTTTTGGCCTGGTGATGTCCTCGTACTAGTACTAAAGTGCTGTCCAGTGGGTTAACCAGCACTGTGCATCGATGAATACACAGATGCGGGCAAAAGTGCTAGGTCCTCTAATAAGCCATTTCCCGCATATCTTGCCTTCTCTTCTAGTAAATAGAGGGTTCAACAAGGAAACGTCATTTAACAGTAACCGATTTGGTTGAACTAAGTGTTTTCATAGTTTTAGCAGTAGTAGGGCTGTTTGCGATACTATATCTTTTTACGTATCACATATTAGCCCTTAAAGGTAAATAAATGTTGTGTCCTATATTGCAGTATTTTTTAGGCGGTTCGAATTCATTTATCGAGATGAACTAATTGCAGATTCAGGTTATGCGTAAAACGTTGCATATACTACTATATTGTGACTACATATTTCAAGATTATTATGCTTATTTTTTAGAAAAGAACCTATTCAGGTAATTGTTCTGAAAATGGGCTCTAGCATGATAAAGGATGGATACAGAGACCTAGCTTTGCTGCTTAGATTTCGATTGAAAGATCTTGTCCGGAGCGTGAGAGACAGTTGTAGAAATACGTAGCGAACAAAGCGTTTACGAGTCGTCATTTCATAATGCAAATTAGAAGAATACTCAGGCTTGAGGCTCAATTCAGTAATATTCAAACGACTTAAATAGAGTTTCAACTTCCGAAGCAAACTTTTTAACCTGGCTTGAAAGAAAATATCTCCTCGATAGTACAGCACTGGAAATTGATGTTTTCCAGTAACTCGTTAGCTATATTTACTGGAATATTCATTGTGTTCAGTGTTATTGCGCAGGCCATTCTTTATAATAGCTTTAAACAAAACTTTCTATAAGATCGGATACAAAGATTTCTATAAGATCAAAACATAATGTTAAAGTACTTCTAAAACATGTATACCTTGCTCGCGGTTGCTGGACGTTTTCGGCGTATTTCGGGAATACACAGAATGTCATGATTTATTTCACATATATGCATCGGTTCCTACTTTTTAAGATATTTTTACACAAACTTACGGGTCCTCGAAGCGTGTTCTTCAAAACTAAAATCAACAGGTGCTCTCTATTTCAGAAACGGGTGCTATTGATCTGAACACTAGGTTTCGTATAATGAAGCCTACAAAAACAATCTGCTATCTTTTGAGTTGGCCCTCAGCTGTTATCCATACTAGGGAACTCAAAGCCGTATGAAGTAACGTCTTATCTATTGCTCGATTTTGCCACCGACTACGTGCAACTAATTCTGCATTGTTTCGACCAAAGCATGGTTGCGTGCACATAGTGTTCCGTGCACGCGAGCCTGTCAAATGTATGTAGGCGTCTTCAGTGGAGCCATGTGATCTTAGTACGATGTAATAATGTGGCAAGCTACTCAATTCTAAGCCACACGTACACATATCAAAGGCTGAAACAGCAGTCTGCCGGTTGTTGTCTCCCGCTAGCGCTATATCAGTCGCTTAAGATGTGATCAAACATTACATACAGTTAACAATATATGGCGGGAAATTAAACTTACTGATCTTTTCAAAATTGTCCACGACTCTTGTATACATATATACTGGACGTTAAATGTAATTTTCGCCGTTGTAGATAGATTTAACCTCGTCTTTCATCGGCGTTACATGTTCACTTTAATGTGTACCGTAGCGATAGAAAGAAAACGAATATCGAGGCCCACAGAATAATCGAGGCTTCTATGGAAAAGAAATAGTTCATATATATAAGGAACGATTTGGATGCTTCGTGCACAAAAGACAAAAAAGAAATCGTCGCATTTGGTGCGTGGGGACTTCAGTCTCGCGTATCGCCCCCGCCAAATGAAGGGAAAGATCTTTGGAGGCGGGTGACTAAGAATTCTTTTCTGCAGGCACCCAGGGTACTTCTTTTAACTAGATTGATTAAACAAAGCAACAACCGACTAACAAGACTGAACACAGTAGAAGCGTCTAAACTGTACATTGATTTTTAAGATGTTCACTCAGACGAAATGAAGTATCTTAGTACGATGGTGTAAAAGTGTACACGAGATGAAGTTGGTGGGAAAAGGGTCATTCACTACCCTACTTTACAAAGCCTGATTATCACCCGTCATTATCTATTTCTACCACCTAAATATATCCTGGATATGACATATCTTCAGTATAACGACGAAAGGTAACTGACTCAAAAATCGCAAGATCTCTAAACATATAAATTAAATTCTGAATATTGTGCTGAATATTTACCAGGTAGGTAAGAGAAAGCCATGGCCCTTCAGAGAGTTTGTAGCGGCGAAAGTCGACGAGTAATTGCTAAGGTTCTCTCTGTACACGATGACTTTATTGCTACAATCGATTAATTATTGATATTAGGCTCATTTACCCGACTATACGGTATCTTTTTTTATAACAAACATTTATACAGAGATATATTTATACAGAAGGTCATGGGGGAGGGGACAAATCCAAGAATTAACGAATAAATTTAAAAGAGGAAGCTTTCGACTACAATGAAATATAAACACTAATATATTTGTTTAATGATTGGTAATTGTTACAATGCAAGTTATGATTGTCGCTGAAAAATAAAAGTACTTTTTTCTTTACTAGCAACACATGTGATGTTTAATCTGTTTAGCCTAGTCTAGAGTTTAGACGATAGACTATGTAGAATATCAGCATTCGGCATTATTTCAGACGGTTGATCACTCCGAGCACAAAGCAAAATGGGTTTACTTTCGATTCCAAACCAAAGTAATTCTGTGGACAAAACAATAGCCCTTGTACAAAAGAAGCCTTACTATAGTCCGTTAATTATAAACAGAACATGGGCTGACATATATCGTTTGAGGAGAACGTAGTCAATATGTGGTTTTCACAAAATGAAAGTTGCAGTCCATCGTTGATACCAAAAAGTTCGAATACACGAAAGATTTCCTTACTTCATGATATTAAATGACACTTTTTCCTATATCTAGCTTTCCTCAAGAGATTCATGGATAAGTATGTAATGTATCATACAAAGGTGGTGTACCACTATGTGCTATACTAAACCATCCAGAATGTAGAGTAGCTATTTGCTGCTCAAACAAAATGTAGTCGACCCATAATAATTGGGATGAAGATGATAAAAAAAAAGCGATAAACATTTCAAGCCCTATATCCTTTTTTAGACCTAAACATTAACAGTACCAATGTTCGTGATCATTGGTTTAAACACGGAAGTTGAGGGAAAAAATTTTATGATAAACTAGTAATTTGCGTTTGCGTTATTCGACGGTTACGAATGTTCAAAAGCGCGCGTCCGTTCCACCGAACGCCCTAATTTGTCCATGCTAATAGTTTTTGCCGTCTGAAGGCAACATTCTCCCGGCCGGAGCATTTCTTAATTTTTAGTGCTAAGTATGGTTTACGTCCTAGAACAAATATGTGACACTGTCGATAGCAGTGATAGGTATCAGCCCATGCAGTCGTATGACGGAATTATTTCGAATAGATAGCTTGTTTATGCCATGATCACCGTCAACTTCGCGCCGCTAGAACAAAGCCAAACGCAAGCACAATAAATCATCGTTATTATTAATATGTAATCATGTATATACATAGCTCGATAGAAACATTAAATATAGGCTGATCGATATGAATGTAAACTATTAAATTATGATCGATGATGGCGGGAATTACGATATTCGTTGCGATGCGTAGACAAAACTACGTGGCAATTCTTGCGGACTGCCTCTTTCTCAGCTCGGTATTTTATTGCTTGCCTTGTTTATATAGTAAAAAAAATCCAAAGTTTTTAGGTAATATGCAAATAAAGCAAAGGTAGCTATCATTATGCTTAAAGGCTAATCGTCAGTGTTCAGAGCGCTAAGAAACAGCGCTGGCATAAGAAAATGGTCAGGGTTGGATGAACCATTCGATGCAGCGTTTTTCGTTTCACACGCGAACGGCTCTTCGTGAAGTGCAGAGTGTTCCTTGATAAGTCTTATACGATCCGACATCATTATCTGAAATAATTTGTGAACCTACGAAGAGTATCGTAATTTTTCGATTCTCTGTCCCCAGGGAATCTAATCATTGTTCTATCTCTATTCTAATCATTGTTGAAAATCGCATTGTGACAATCGTTAACATCGGTCGAAACATTAAGATTGTACAACTTAAAAGGGACTGAAGGCGGGGACTGTCCGGAGTGAAAACTAGACGAGCTTGGAGTAACGCGTACCCTCCGTGGACCATATAATAACATCATTTCATATTGCTAGAGCTCCCAATAGTGGGTTAAAAGCGATAGAGGATCACTTAATGTCGCTGTCAACTTCTGAACCTCAAAGTATAGTAACCCCAAATATATGAATATATACATCGCAACAGCTATATCGCCAAAGCATCGTTTATACCAGCAATAACTTTATGGCATAGATTTCTATTCATAACAAATGTTATTGGATAGGGGGCGGCAAAATCGAGAGCGGTGGAACGAAGTTGTACCAACCGAGAGACCTTCCTACACGCTTCTTGCTATTATATATTTGTTAACTGCTATAAGAGCAGTTCCCAATAGTGTCTCCTTTTAGGTTTTTTCGATGCAAAATTAACTGCATTAGAAATGGGAGTAGGCACCAGCATCTAAGGACTTCTCAATTTTTAGTTAATGGACACTAATAAACCTTACGAGCCAACTATTTGCCCATAATATATAGACACTAATAGTACTGATTAATAGAAACTTTGTCTTTTTTAGAGAAAAACGAAACTTAATTACCCTTGTCATGGCTACTCTATTGGATACAGGTTGGTGTAAGATAGGCTACCTTTCTGTCGCTGTAGAATTGCTTGAAATGCAATAAAGGAATTAGAATATATTAAGTGTATAGGGATTGTAATGATATTTACGTCATGTTTATATGTTGTGAGCTCCCGGGTTTGATACAGTGTGCACAAGACGTTTGCGTTAGGTATGGCCTTGCTATATACCATCTTTTCCGTTCCGGCCACGCGTATCACGTAATGCTGACTCTGAACGACATTTATAAGTGTTTTTGAGTGGTTAAGTTATTTAATCAGTATAGATAGGAAAAAACTTTTAATGCCCTTACGCATGACTTCCCCTGGCGCTTGTGTTTTAGTGGCCTACGGGACGACCGGCTCTCGTTGTTTGGGACAATCTCCTGCTTTTCACCTGTTTGGACCGTCTCAAAATGGCAGACAGCGGGATGGACGGACGAAGGACCAAGCACAAAAAAACAACCAATCAAATACAGACACTGACTCCTAGTGAATCTGCCCTTGCAGCAAATGGATTTCAGTGGTGGCAGTTTTAAACGCTCATCGTTTTTGGCGTAACCGCCCCATTCTAAGGCTGGCCGATTATGCGACTTTAGTGCTTGTTTAAGTGTGAGGAAGCTATTCGGGGTGACCCATACATATGCTGCTTTAAGTCTACTAAAGCGTGTCATGCATCCTGTACAGCCTTCAACTGTGCGGACCTATAAGCTGATTCGACTTCAAAGTAGCGTTGTAAAGCGTGCAACACGCAAGCAGTTAATCGGCAACAGAACGTTTCATAAGCGAGGCACCAGGAAACCAGATCTGAAGCAATCGAATGTGTGTCAGTTCTCCTCCGCCGTTTGGTAGCGCCCAAAGGGAAGCTGGCTAAACTCGCAGAGGTACGAAACGTTGCTATGACCACTAGACCGGACCCAGAAATCGCTGTCGCGGCTGAGGATCTTTTCGAAGTTCTAAAGATAACGGTGTCCAAGAAAATCATCAGTGTGGGTAGTGGAGCTTTTGAGCCCCTTCCAAAAAGGAAAAATTTCCCAAAAAACTCCCATTGCCGGGCTCTAGGGGCCTCCTGCAGCACTGCTATTACGAGTAAATCGAATTCGGAAAAGATTATTAGCTTTTGGCGCTGAGCGACCTGGCGTCGCCCCGAACGCTACGAAGATCCGTCTCAACAAACTGCAAACCAAGCAATGATGCTTTGTTGTGAATAGCACTCAAAATGAAGCCCCCTTCACGGCTTTCGTTGACACATGTACACGCACACAGCGGCAGGAAGTCAAAAGTAATCGTCACAGTTATAAAGGAGGAGTCACTAGAGTAATTGCATCCATCTTGAGAAAGGAGA